TTCAACGAGAGGAGATGGATTCCCCGTTTTTTTTCTTCTATAAAATCATTATATAAAAATAACCCGGATTCAACAAGCACTTCAGTCAGTAAGCTCGGATTCAACGAGGTTGCTTCCAGAGCGAACAGCCCCTTCAAACGAGGCTTCCCTTATTTTTCTCTCACAATGAACTTTATCCTTTCCCGGAAACCATCCCCTGCACCTGCTTCGTGAACCATTATTAACTTGCCCGATTGCATGTGATCGATCAGCGGCCTTCTTTCATACCAACTCATGCGTTGTTGGGGTCGGATGGGCGGCCTGCACATGTGTGACTGTGTGTGCTTGTCAGGGGGTACCAGCAGTCCGGGTGTGGAACATCGCAGATACAAACGCGTGACAGTCTTTTTTTTCCCCGGCTACTGATCATTATTACAATGATACGCTAGTCTTGACATTGATCTACGTGATGAATTATGTGCTGGTCTATGGAATCAAAAGTTGCGGTATGCTGGGCTCAACACAGCAACCCAACTTTTTCAACTTTTTGGCAAATAATCGAGATGAAACAGGAGTGCATTTGAACAAATCGGTCTTTTTCTTTTGCGCAGCTCATAATAATTAATATGCAGGCATTCAGGCACCACTTGTTACCTCTCTTTATACATTACTGGCTCAGTGCCTGTAATTATGTTTACAAAACTTCATGTTTGCTATAACGAACACTCGGATTCAAAGAGATTTTAGGTCAGGCGCGCCGACCTCGTTAAATCCGAGTTCCACTCGGATTTAACAAGCTCGGATTTAACAAGCTCGGATTCAAAGAGATGAGACAGATTCCCCGTTTTTTTTTCTTCTTATAAATCAATAAAAATAAAAGTAACCCGGATTCAATGAGCACTTAAATCAGTGAGCTCGGATTCAGCTAGGTCGCTTCCAAGGTGAACAGTCCCCGCAGACGTGGCTTCGCTAATTTTTCTCCCAGAATGGAAACCATCCATTGCACCTGCATCGTGAACCATTATTCACTTAGCCGATTGCATGCAACCAATCAGCGGCCTTTTAAAATACCAACACATGTGTTGTTGGCACGCGCACGTGTCTACTCTGGCGTGTGTCGGGGTCGGATGGGCGGCCTGCACATGTGTCGGGGAGGGGGGGGGGCACTAGCGGTCTGGGCGATGAACGTCGCACATACAAACGAGTCAAAGTCAGTCTTTTTTCCCCTCGGCAACTGATCATTATTACAATAATAAGCTAGATCTACGTAATGAATTGTGCGCTGGTCTATGGAATCAAAAGTTGCCGTATGCTAGGCTCTACACAGCAACATAACTTTTTGGTAAACAAAAATTTGAGAAGACATAGGCGTGTGTATTTGAACAAATCAGTCTTTTTATTTACACAGCTCAAAATGTGCACGCCTTTCAGGCACTACGTGTGACTTCTCTTGTACATTACTTGCTCAGTGCCTACAATTATCTAGATCTACACAAAACTTTGTGTTTGCTATAACGAACACGGATTCAACGAGATTCCACAGTACTAATTGAACAGATCGAGGTTGCCATGGAAAGGTAATAGATATATAAGAACATTAATAACTTCAGCAGACTTTGACTAAACTAACTTTAGGTTTACAAGGAACCTGTTTTCTTTACTATTCTCCCTGCATCAATCGATCTCACTCGTTTCACTGAAAATATGTCACCGTAAGACAGTTTGAATCGGCAAATTAATGTTGATATGATTGAGAGCATTTTTCTCTATATATTTATTACTGCGGACAGAACAAAACCGTAAACGGGACAAACACATTTAATAATTAAAATAACCAATGCAAAAATAGAGAGTCCTGTAAATTTGCCCTGTAATTACATTGTGTTAATTCAGCTTAGGAATAGGTTCCCAAATTTGAATAGGGCACTTTAAATTGTAAAATAAGAATTGAACAATCATTTATTTCTCTTCAAATGTATAAAAATAATCAATACTCACTAAAGAACTTTGTGCGATCCATCATTTAAATATTATATTCGAGAAAAGTGGCAAAACATACATTAAATAAGCTAGACTACCAGATTGCTGATTTAAGTGCTCGTTGAATCCGGGTTATTTTGATTGATTTTAAAGAAGAAAAACGGGGGAGTCCATCTCCTCTCGTTGAATCCGAGTTCTCGTTGAATCCGAGTACCACTGTAATACGTATTGTTTTCCGAACAGGATATGTAGCTGTGCAGAGCCTGGCTTTCAGCAAGGTTTGATTCCACAGTCCAGCGCGCAATTCATTTTGTAGATCTATGTCATGGCTAGCTTATCATTATAATATAGATCAGTAGCCGGGGGGGGGCATAACTGTGGCGTGTTTGTATAGACTTCTAGCGTTCCACGTCCGCGCCTCTTGTGCCCCTCCATACACAAATCACATGTGTGCTGACCACCCCAACACACGCTACGACATGTGTGCTAACAACGAGTGTGGTGGTATGAAAGAAAACCGCTGATTTATTGCATAAGATACAACTAAGCGAATAATGGTTCACGATGCAGGTGCCATGGATGGCTTTTAAGAATAGACAAGATTCGTTTAGAGAAATATGAGGGAAGCCACGTAAGAAGGGACTGTTCACCCTGTGAACAGCTTCGTTGAATCCGAGTTATTTTGATTGATTTTTATGAATACCCCCCGGATTCCAATTCCATTTGTTGAATCCGAACTTTCGAAGACTTCGAGTTCCATTGTATACATCTAGTCTCCGCCTAAAAGCTCAGGAGCTTCAGTGATCACTCCCGACTGCCTCTGGTGTGGTGTGCTTCTTCTTTCCTATCAAACGTCTATCGTCCTTTTCTCTCCCTTCTTCTTTTTTGTTTGTTACTCTCTTGTAACACCTTTAATCTTCTGGCACTCATATGACCTTATGCAGTTGCGAGCGCCATAAAACCTCTACTAAAACTAAACTGTCATCTATTGCAACTCGGTAAACGCATGGATAACATCAGCCATTTTGAGAGACCTCTCTGTCTAATGATTCAGTTGAGTGCGTTTATAAATTTTTCAAATGCAGCTGATCACTTGACTAATTTTTATTTTATAGGCTGCAGTCAATATTTCTCTTTGTCAAGCTTTACCCATCAGCGTGATTCGAGGATCGAAGCATGCATTTAGAAGAAGTGACTGTGCGTTTGTACGTTGAAATTAATTAAGTAAAAAACACGCCATATATGACGATAGCCTGTGTTTGAGCGAAGACTTCTGTATAAGGTTTATGTGGCACTCTGAGAACCCTTCAGGTGAAAGAGGTGTAAAAACCATACAAGCTAATAGTTTTATAAAAATATTGCACAAAACATTAGAACAACACTGGCAAAGCAATAGATTGTGTAGATTTTATTTTACAAAATCACCAAAAAAAAAAAAAGGAAAAAAAAAAAAGAAACAAAACAAAATACATATGGAGCTAGAGAATAATTGTATCTATGCGTAAACAAAATTGTAAGCTTTGCGGTTTTCATACCTTTTGCTTTTGTAATAAAAACGCACTATAGAGATATAAATATCATATCCAGTTCAAGTAAATTAAATTATGATTACAGAGAAGGGGGTGTCAAAAACAGGAGTGGATCAGCGTATGGTACAGGCAGTCTTCCCAGGCTTTCTCAATCACTTACAGTACATTTATCCTCGTGAAAACAAGAGACCATATTCTGTGGCCATGTGCCAAAAAGGGAGGGCAGGGGAGTCGGGTTGGATAAAAATCAAACAAGAGGCACCCATAAGCACAACAGTACAGTATATGGAATAACAAAGCCTTTCTCTCCGATCCTAAAACTTTATAAAAATTAAGAAAAAATGTTATATCAAAGCTGAACTGAAAGGAAATGCACACTAGAAGTTGGCCATTTGCACACACCATGCTCAGACAAAAGATGAGACAGTGAGAGGGGTAGAGGTGGCTGTGAAGTTGTAGTCAAGTTTACACAATAATAAGCAACGCCCACTTTGAACAAACGGACACAATTGAAACAATGAGAAGGAGCAGACCACATCAGCCTTCTCGTAAGCCAAGGTTAGGATAGGAAGGATAGAAAGAAGGTATGGGAGAAACAGAAAGGCAGGATAGGAAACAAGTAGAAATCAACACATGAACTGTGAATAATCTCCCCCGCCTCTACATTGTCCTCTCCTCAAAGTGAGCTTAATGCAGAGGGAAAAAACAACAATCCCAAAACATTGTTGAGTTTGAAACATTAAAATGTTTGAGTGTTTTTTCTTATCTTCCAAACTCATCTTCAAAACAAACTGACCATACAGAGCACCACACAAAACCGTTGTATCTCGTTCTTTTATCAGGACAGCAGTTATGGACTCACTAGTCAGATTGTGTCACTTTCCTGATTCCCTGTAATCCCCATCTTGTCCATCAACATATCGGCGCTGGCCAAGTCAGAGGTCTGAGAAGACGGACCTATCAGAGGTTGCCATTTGCCTGTACATACAAAGCGAACTGAAGCAAAAAACAAAGTGCTAAAATTATTGTACCAGCAGGCCATTTATACAAAGGGGAGACTGGGGAGCTCCTTGCGCTCACACAGGTTGAGGGAACGATGAAGGGAGGGAGAGAGAGGAAGAAGGGGAAAGGTTCTGTAACAGTTACTACTGTCATACTGAATCCAAGATGGTAAGCGGAGACCGCAGGGCAAACAGAATATATAAGTGGCTCATCAAATACACAACGGTTAACCCCTTCCCTGCCAGCTGGTGTGCGTTCCTACTGCCAGCGCTCATTTTCAGCTAAGCTCTTTTATCAGGACAGCAGATATGGACTAACTGTCAGATTGTGTCGCTTTCCTGGTTCCCTGTAATCCCCATCTTGCCCATAATTGAGAAAAACTAAGTTCCAAATTGAAATTTGCTGCCCTTTTTTTCAGTCCTTTTGAAGTTTACATTTTGAGAATACATGCATTATTCCAAGACTACACTTGTGTTTACTGACTGCAAGTTTAGCACTAGCAAAATTGGCACTGATATGCATATTTTTTATTCCTGAATACAAATCTGTGCTGTGCTTGTGGCTATATCTCCATACAGAAGAATTCGAGCCAGATGGTTAGCCGTACGTACATGTCATGTCATTTATGCAACCAGGAATGGCAAATTTTTGCTAACTTCTGTGTCGTCCATGGTATGGCACAAAGCTAAAAATGATGCCCTTTCCTGACGCACTATAAGGCAGCAAAGGGGTTAACACAATTTAGCAAGCAGGCAGCTCTGTCCCTGCCAGTTGAGGTCAAACCACGCAAGGATATTCCAAAAGTAAGAAGAAATCTGTACTAAATAAAACATCTTCCCTACACTGAAATCTAATTCTTATTTTCTGTATATACAGCAGAGTCAAAAAGTGAAACCAGACACTGGCTTCAGAAGAGCAAAGAAACTGAGTGAGGGTGAGTAGACATGAACTCAGTGTCACTGAACGAGGCAAACGCCAGGCAGCGCACACTATAGGCTCATCATTGGCCTGCATTCAGCATGAGGCTGTACCAAACAAATGGCCAAAGACAGGAGAGGAAATGGGCAGAGTTGATGCCATGCATACACTATCATACACACACACACAGAATTGTGCAGCAGCAGACAAAGAGTACAAAGAAACTCAGGATTCTTCCTTTAGATAAAGTCAGCGTCTGTCTGCGGATCAACCCTGACATTACATTGAGATATGTATAACTACATTACATAAGGCTTCCAGGAGCCAGAAAAAGCAGGGGGAAAAATATGAGGGTTCTGTACAAAACAACACATGAGGCCGGACTGTAGCAGCTTCTTCCAGCCATCAACAGGGAGATGTGCATAAAACTGGTCTTTAGGGTCCAAAATAGCAGCCATCACAAGTTACGCTCCACAGATAGAAACTTATATTTGACTGCCCAGCACCACAGAGTCCATACAGCCCACAAAGTTGCATTACAGACAATTACATGAACATGTGATTATCAGGAACAGTCTGAGTAAAGACAACATTAAATATGGGACATTTGCAAGCCAGGTTCAAGAAATATAAGCTATTAAAATTTTAAAAAATACACAGAAATACTTGCAGCCAGTCTAAAGAAAACACAAGTTGCCCAGAGCTGAGTGAGTGACCCCCTTCAAACTGTTGTTAGAACTATCAGTATAGTACATTTCCCCCCCATCATTGCATTATCCCAACACAGGGTGGTCATTTCATTTTTCATCTGGTCAAACTCATGCTATAAAGACACCAATACTGAAACACCCAAAATCTGAGATTGTGAGTGTCGTTGTTGATGAGTTGAGAGAGCCATTCTCTCCAACTTGTGCCTCACTTAGGCTGGCCGCTTGACAAGCTGTAGCTGTACACAGCCACCAATAACAGGGAAGAGCAACGCAGACAGGACAGGGCAAGAAAAACTGTAGGGGAGGAAGTACACGTCAAAGAAATCTTTGATGTTCAGACACAAACAGAATCGGTGTAACCATCAAACAATTATGCATTCTGGAGTATAATACATTTCATTTCATATAAGCATACATTACTGACAACAAAACAAGCGGTGAAGAAAACAAACGCCCTCAGACTGTACAACAACATACTCTAGACACTCTAGACAGTGACGTCCCTCACCACCTGTTACCTCATCTCAACTCTTATCTACAATGTTTGCACCCAAAAAATATCTGAACATACACCTGTCCCATCATTCTGTCAATTTATCATGGTTGTTTCATCACTATACACACAGACAACACAAGTTACATAACTATAGAGATGAGGCCAGAAGTTCAGGATGTGATGGACAATTAACAAAACGGGTGTTGTACAACCAGGTAGTACCTTGTTTCCACTGACACACCTCTCTGGCCCAGTAGATAGGGAAAAGCACGCCAGCTCACATGGTAGCAGAAATTACCAACAGCACCCATCTTTGCACACAAGTTCCTCCATTTTAGGCTGCCAAATGTTGTTCTTGACAGTATCCTCAATTATTTATACCCAGCACAGTCTCTTCCGTTAGACTGAAGTGTACAAAATGTGCCATTTCTTCCATGAACACAAACACTTTGAGGACTGTGACAACTTCCATAAGGAACAGAAATATGATGAGTCTTATATATATACAGTAGCAACCAGCCCACCGCACGACTGTACAACTGACCCCTGCCTGGCTCCTTCCTCCACAGAGACTTATTACCACCACCACTTTCTCTACACTTCTCTCACTGCGGGACAAAACTGAAGTTTTTCTGCCTGCATCCAAAATTATAATCATTGACTCAGTTCCCACCCAACATAAAACAGTTAACAAAAAATATTAGAAAATATAGCATCTTTCATTGTTTTTTATTCTACGCAAGTAACATTCATAACTGCTGAAACGTAATTGTCCAACTAAAAAATACAGACTACATGTTTCATGCAACAGCTTTCAGTTATGTAAATATTTCAGTATCACTTGCACTACATTATTTCTATATGTGTCCTGTCCACCACTGTTCATCTCCCTTCAAATTCCACTGAACTCTGAAGCTCCCATTATGAATCACCTACATTGTTCAACTTGAGGGAAAAATAACTCACAGCGTTAAGTCCTTTTCACCAACACAAGAACATTGATTGTATAGATCAGTTGTAGAAAGCATAGAAAGGGCGAAAAGAAAACAAACAAAGAACAACTGCACCATAAAATTGACAAATCTGTACATGCTTTCAAAACAGGCTCAGTATAAATTATTATATTCCATATATGACAACAAAAATAGAAGGACTCCTGTACATTTATGAATAACTGCTTTTGCGTATGAGTTTTGCAAACAACCCACACTGGTTCACCCAGTGCAGTGGGGAACATATCAATCCATTCATCAACAAACCGGGCCAAATTACAAACACCAGAATCCTTGGAGATGTGCATAAAAATGTACAGTGAACACCAATAATGTCTGCCACACTCCAGGGCCATTATGCGCCATAAGAGATGCCCGAGGTGTGAGTTTGAACCACACATGAACAAAGAAAATCAAGTGATTTTTCTCCATTGAAACAGCACCACTTGGAAATTGTCTCTCAGCGACATGGGCTTCAGTTAGCTCAGTCACGCAAGGGACGTCAGGATATGGGAGGAGAGAGAGAGAGAGGAGATGGGGGAAAAAATAAGGGGAGAATACAATAGTTAAAACAGTCTGGGATTTTTCTGAGGTTCAGGTGACAATGACTATTTCCTGGGCCTTGCAAACCAAAACAACAAGGTAGGGTTCAAAGCAAAACTATTTCTTTTTAACATTCATGATTCAGAGGACAACTATGTTGGGGTGTGGGAACAAGGTAAACACCACATAACAGCTTGATCAAGGGAGCTATATATAGTAACATTGTACACACCTTGAACAATCTATTACAACACTATTTGTCTCAGCTGCTTCCACTAGCAGGCAAGAAGAAAAAAAAACAACCAAAAAAACGGCCTCACATCATCCAACAATCTGCAGCAAGTTTATACTGCCATTTTCTGAGCAACTTTCTGCTCAATTCAAATATCAATTTCGTTCAACATATCATACACACACAATAAAGAACACCAAGCTCACTCTACCATTGTCCAGGAAGGTTTAGGGTTCGGAGCTTGGTCACATGGCACAGGTCAGAGAGTGTCCGAAGGGTGAACACATGCACATGAAGAGACTCGGTGAAGTCAGAATCTGGTCATAAAGAGAAAATTCTGGTTTCAAATGAAACCTGATGGTGATTTGCAGGTCAAACCTATCCACTCTTTTCACACAAAGTCACAAGATTTGCACTCTCCTGAGTTCAACGAGTAACTCCCCATCCCACCTCCTTTGGGAGTTAGTCGTGGTAGCGAGGTGTTGTTGAGCAGTACACCCTACTAGGCTAGTGGGGCAGGTGTCCGGCGGAGCCAAAGCGTTCTCGTTCCATGGCAAAATGTCTCTGAAGAGCCTCATGGGCGGCTGCCTGGGCAGACAGCTGAGGACACATGGAGAACAAGAGTGAGACACACACTCACACAAGCATCACGGTCAGAGAAGTCAACAGAAGGATGCACGATTACCAAACTGTTTTCTTTTAATATAGAATTTCAAAAAAACCTTTTAACTTCTGATACAGAGAAGTAAACAAAGTGGAAGCTTGGAAATTATTAGCTATCAAATTTTTACAAAAACGTCTAAAATCTGGGTTGTTTTTTCATTAAAAAAAAAAAGTAGATGGTTTTACGGCGCTCCAACTGCATAAGGTCATATGAGTGCCAAGGGGTGGGTGTCAACATTGAAGTCTTTATAGGGAATCAGACTTAGACTTCACCACTCTAGCTTCAACAGCACAAGGTCTGCTTCGACTATCAAGGCACCCCAAAATAGCAGGTCACAAGGGAGTGACAAACATACAAAAGAAGTAGAGGAAAATGACAATAGAAAGGATCAGGAAAGAAAAAGCAGCAGTTCCCTGTTGTAGATCAGGCACAGTTATGAGCGTGACATGAATCAGCCCATTACAATTCTACTATGCTTGAACGAGATATGTCCCCCCCTTTGGGAATGGCCTAAAGACACTTCAATCAGTGGCACTGCCCCGGGGAGGGGGGTTGTTTTTTTAGGGACATAAAACAAACATATATTTTATATAAACATGCACATTTTTTTCTCAGTCAAAATTTTGTTCTTAATCTTATCTCCTTCACTAAAGCTTGGACTATCCACCAACCTGATGAGCCAGCGCTGGGTCCAAGAAGGGCCCACCTCTCTGGTAGAGGTCTCTGGACAAGAGCTCCTCCCTCCCGCCACCGGCGGCCAGCAGAGGGTGGTGGGCCACACCAGGCGGCAGCACAGACAGAGGGTTGGTGGAGGACACTGGGACAGAGGCTCCGGGACCTGCGGCTAGAGGGTCAGCTCCTGGGGATGGAGGTTTACAGCTTTTGAGGGGCCCTCACATTTGTTTTGTTTTGTTTTTGTTAGAGTTTTACGGCACTTGCAACACAAATATGTAATGTAAGTGTCGAGACGTTACTACAGAGCAACACACAAAGAAAAGACGATACACATTAAGTAAGGAAAGAAAGAGAAAAAAAAAAAAAGCAAGAAAGAGCACCCACCAACAACCCACTCAAGATTTGTTTCTCCATTTGGGTAAAAAAAAATACACCTACACTATAACAGTCACTAAACCCTGGGAAAAAGTAACACTGATAGACAGCAACAATAGATGGAAAGAGATGAAGTAAAAACTATGAGAAGCACCTTAAGACCACCCTAAGTCGCAGTCATAGAGACGCACAGCAAATTACCAGTTGACAATAAGATTAAGAAAACAGGAACAATAAAGGAGGAAATCACACTAAGGCAACCACCAACCATCATATAGTCAGAAAAGACAGATCTAAAAGTGCAGTGCCATCCATAGGCATCTTTCAACACCCATAGCATTAAAAAAACAAAATTACATGCTTCCAAAGTAATAACATGTAGACATATAATTTTGAACAAATTCCTGAAAATGCACCCACCAATCAAAGCTTTGTATCCATTACCTGACAATATTACTATCCAACTACCATTCACCTTGAGATAGTACAGGGCTATAAAGCCACATTTTAGTATTTTAAACAAAGTACTGAAAAGGACCTGAAGCCGAACATGAAGCCATGTGTAAAGGAGCTGTTCAGTCACTGAAAGGACACAGCTATAAAAGCTGAACATGACAAAACACTGTAGCCCTACTGCCTGTTCTCACACACTTTTCTTTCAGTCACTATTTCTATTCCCTTAAAGTAATTAATTAACCCTATCTGTACGTCGTGTTTTACTATCCTATCCATACAAAAAAAATGTACTCATAAATTCGATCTGTACGCTTTGCATACCAGTCTGTCAAAATGATTTTTTGAGAAATACTGAAAGTTTCAAAGAGATCTTCGCACTAGAAGTATTCTAAAATGTGTAGAATACAACCCCTAGGGTACAAAATGACTCCAGGCGTACAAATAGGGTTAATAAAATAGCACCCCCACCCCCTTCCCAATACACACAAACACTAAAACATCAGTGTCATGTAGTGTTATTATACTCTTGTTCCTGACATGTGAGGTCATCAAAGAGAAAAAAAAAAAGAGTGTGGTTTAAAATACTCAAATGTTACTTTATAGCCCTGTCCTATTATCTCTTTCATTCTGTGTAAGAACCAATTTTAACTGCCATGAGAAGGAAATAAGGGGGGTTAACATTAACAATTCAAGTTTATTTAACCAAAGGTGTAGATCGGTGATCTGAACCTAGCTTTACCTTCTACATCTGCAGACCAAAAGCATGTGAGAAATAAAAAAATCTCACTCCTCTCACAACAATCAGAACAGAAAAAACCATGCTTTAAATTGCCCCCCCAAACACACACACACACACAAAATCACACACTTGAGTTTATCGACAACATCAGGCTTGCCAACTTCTTCAAAACCCAATCAGGGAAGCAAACGTTATAACATCAGATGATGTAAAACTGAACAAAGTTACATCAAGTGGGACAGATTTTGGTGTAGTGCATGGGACAAGGCTCTCAAATTCCTGACTGCCAAACCCGCGACAGTCGCGGTAAATTTGGGACAGTTGGCAAGCCTGCAGTAATAGATGGTCAGGGGATTTTATCGCTCTCTGTTAACACATCAACCCTACTCGCACTATGCACCTATTTGAAACTTTTCACTGGAAATTTTCATTTCCAAACTACCAAGATAATTTTGGGATTCAAAAAGTTGCAAATAACATGATAATTCAGTATGGCTTCAGATTCTTTTCAACTGAAAAAGAGAAATCCAGACAACTATTGCAATAGTATGAAAAATAACAACAATGCATCAATTCTAATCATGGCTGTGGTCCAACACAACATTTATAGAAATGTTTGTCGATTTCACCAAAAAATTCACATCTTTGACAAAGGTCACACAGCTCATGTGTCACGACGCGATGGAATCAGGCACTCGTCAATTTTTGGGCAAGTGGAGTTAATGATATCATCTGAATAATTCATTTGCCTTGCTTTCAATGAAAAAAATACCCATCTATCTCAAACAGAAGTCTGCAATTGAAAGAGGTGGGGTCATCAGGTGTAAGAGGTAAAATTAATGAGAAAATGGCCGCAAAGTTTGGTAACTGCAATAGCTTGAGAGTCCGTGAAGACTTAAAAATTACATATTTTGTGCCATTTATCAACATTTTTCAGTAACATTCACACAGAAATGTGTTTTTCTAAGAACATAAAAGGAGTTGAGCCAAAAAACAAAATTTCAATAAAAATTGCTAAACTGACTGAAAATGCCCGTTTCTACAATTTCATTATTTTGACAAGCGCCTGATGCCTCACATATCACTGGAGCAAGACTAAAATGTAACTCCATTGGAGCCTGCTTTACAAGGTGGGTAAAAACCATTTGAGCTGCTTATTTTTCTCACAACAGGAACAATGTAATCCTTCCCCTCTTCCGGGTATAATGATTTTCATAAATGGTATGCATAAATTTTTTTTTTAAAAATGAAATCCAAAACAAAACCATAAGCACAACATCAAATCACAGAGAACCGTGGAGTGTGTGGGGCAACAGTACACTTCCCAACCAATGGGAATCCATCATCTCACTATGGAAAATGGCAAGAAAAATTTAACTATAAATTTTGCAATCAGCAAGTATTGGTTTCCCCCAGTTCGGATAAACATTAATTCAGTCCCTTCCTCAAGCTTCAATTTGAGGTTATCAGCCCATGACTTCAGAACTGTCGCCATTCATTCCCTCTACAAATAACAGGAATAGAAGAGAATGTTTAAGTTTCCAACCAGACAACTTCCGCTTTTAAAAGTCTGCATCTTGTGTGTACAAATGTATTTGCACCTCTATTTCTCTCAACGCTTCTGTATGGAAAACAGCAGTGACTACACACTGGTAACCACACATGAATCAGGCATGGCATATTATAAGGCCACAAACTCACATGCAGATACCATGGAGGAAGGTAGAAGTCCCTCCTCCATCTCACAGTTGGATGATAAATATCTCCCAAAGTACTGCGAAGTGACAAAGATAAAAACAAGAATGTACAGTATGGTGTAGTCTCAATGCCTCTTTCAAGGTAATTCAAGAGGCAGGAAGTTCTATCTCCTAGAAAACTGATCTGAGTGATGGAGAGTAATGGAAACTTCCCAACACCACAAGTTAAAAAAAGCTACCAAACCGACTTGAACACAGGACAACCGCATTAACATCCAGCACAAAACCAACAGATCTATGGGCACTCAGTGTAAATAGGACTTGGATAGCACAGGAGAATCCACTCATAAAGGACTTAACACAGACTTTAACAAACTGCTACCACAGTCATTCCAATCATCACATCAATGTGAAAGACGTCTTCCTCCTTAAACCTTTTCCTCAGCTATGTACATATATTTTTCACAGATTTCCACCTATTGATCGTAGTAGAAACTAACCTTAACTTTTGGCTCAATAAAAACCACATTTCACCAGGAACAGATCAGAACAATCGCAAAACTGGAAAGAAGTAGAATAGGCAGACCACACCAGAACACTTGTCTTAGATGTCCAAGGAAAAAGAAAAGGGAAACTAAAATCAATTTTGATGACCCTTTAGGAATATACAAATAAATGCAGAACATAAAAAAGGAAGCTTTTGCAACAAAAAAAGAGAGGAAAGTGAGTGAGCCAGGTCTGAGTGTGAGTGAATCATGTCTAAGAATTGGTGCAGACAGAATTAAATAAGGCAAGGTCAGTGCAAAATGAAGAAAAGGATATCAAAGCAATTTTTGGAACAATACAAAGCACTAAATATCTACGAAAAAACAAAAAGTGATACAACGAAATCCACAACACAGCAATAGGGCTACACTTCTAGTCATTCAAGAAACTCAGTTACAAAAAAGCAGGACTTGAAACTGAAATCAGAAGCAGCAAAAGAAAAAAACAAAAATGAACAGAATTTCACACAAACTGACGCAAGTGGATACGAATCAGATACATCTGTCGGGAAGAGGGGAGAAATCTAATGAGGGTCGCACAAACAGCGAGCATTGGTGGGGGGAGGGGGGTGGGAGAGGGAGAGAACGGACACAGCCATTTTGGAATTGTGATAGCAAGTTCTTCACTTACGAGAGAACTGATAGATCAAATGGTTGGGATCTATGATTGGCCGAGTCTCCGGTTTTGTGCGGAGGTAGCACTCGTTGACGACTCTCTGCATAAATATATGCTGTTCGCTAGAGAGGCGTTGAGAGTAATATTGGTAGACCAGTCGGCTGGTCAGGTGCTCAGAGCCCAGGCTACTGCCAGCAGGGGCGCTCCCAGCCCCGGGCGCTGCACCACCATCTGCAATGACAAGGTGGGGGGTTTGGGTTCAGTCTTTGAGTTCACACACGAGGGGGAGGGAGAGGCACATGGACACACCAGGACCACCCTGTACTGCAGGGAGGGCAGGAGGAAAAGCCAGACATCACACACACACACACACACACAAACAACAGAGAGAGGAAAGACAAGGAGTAAGACCTACTAGAGGTGCCCTCCAGCTACCACCCGTGAAGTAATGTGAGAGGAGCAGTGAGGGCATGAGTCAGCGTAAAAGATGACACAGTAGTCAAAGCAACACACAGGGCCAGCACACCATGGGAGGGGGAGGAGGGAGGGAACAAATGAAAAGGATGGAGGGAGGGACGCAGGACCTACAACAGGAATTTGGCGAAACTATTACCCTCCTTAACCAACAGAATTGATAATTGTAGTCAAAGACTTCCATGTCCATAACCAAAAGATGACCACTTGGAAACAAAAACACGTATTCTGCACAAATCAGGGTCACAAGCCATATGTCTGAAAGCCTCACGTGTACTTCAAGAAAGAAACAAGAAATCAACATCATCATCATAGACATTACATCCAGAGATGGTCGAGAGAAGACAGAAAATGGCCAGACCAACCATAGTAGCCCTCAACACTCAAAGACACATTGGAGCCACCTAGTTACTTGAAAGCTAAGCATCTCTAAAACCTTTCAGAATCTTCCAACAGCTCATGATCTCAACCTACACAGGCCAGAAACAAACCAGAAACTTTACCAAATTTCACCCAAAAGACGACATGCAGAAAGAAACTGATAACTGCTCAAGACTTCTCACAAAAATGTACAACTCAGTTCTTCTGACCATTCCAAGAAAGAAAACCATCATCACCTTGCAAAGAAAAGTAGAGCTGCAAAAAACAAAGTCAGCTGGTGCACAACAATTTCAATAATCCAACCCCAAGTTTTGTCGTCAAAAGTAAGTGTACACGCGCTGTACTTACAGCGAGAGGACAACTTCTATGCACTCTCTAATTGAAAACATACAATTGTCGAGATCTGCACGTGTTGTTTCTTCTCTGAATTTGTCAGATCTGGGAAGGGGGCTGTTTGAATGTAGACTTCCTCAACCTACAAGGTCATTTATAAGTACCGGAATATACGTTTGGTTGCCTGCTCTTATTTCGCAGTCCACACTCCACGTTTCTCCTGTGAGACATCACACCAGCAGACGGCACTGCAGTGTAAGTGGATTCGCCCTACTATACCTGGTCCGCCCGCAGCCAGAGGGTGGTGAGGGTACAGGTGCTGAGCGTGGGCGGCCAGTGGGTGGGGGAAGGCCGGCGGGGCCAGGCCGTGGGCCTGGGCGTGGGCTACAGCTTGGGCATGGGCCACCTCCTGCTGGTGTAGGTGTAGGTGTGTGTGCGAGTGTGCGTGTGTGTGTGTGTGTGCGTGCTGCGTGGCTGCCGCCGCTGCCCCGGCCAGCTGTAGCCTGGCCACCGGGTCGTTAGCCAGGGCGGCCAAACGATCCCGATCCCGCTCTCGCTCCGCCGCATGCCTCTCTGCTGCCTGGCGCTCCGCTGATAGACGCTCAACGGCGCTGGCATACGACATGTCGGCCGCTAGTTGGGGAAAGCTGGCTGCCAAACCTAGTGTAGGGGAAAGTATAGTTGAAGGAGTTGGAAAAGACTTGCAGACCTCGTGTAGTGGAAAGTTTAGTTTGAGTTGAAGTAAGGAACAGCACATAAATACAATAACGGCCATTTAGCACTGGGGAAAAAAGCAAGGTAGACAGAATTTTAAAAATGGAAAGAAAAGAAGTGAGACCTACCAGTGGCACTGGCACCCTCCAACCACTGTAGTGAAAAGCATATGTGCAGGGTTTTGGAAGTCAAATTCACAAACCTTGCAACATTCCCAAGATTTAGGATAAAGAGAGAGAGAAGAACAAGAGCGAGTCTATCAGCATAAGAGTACATTTATTAGATAGTGCGGTTAACAGGAGTCACACTATAGCATCGTAATGCTGGAGACCACAGGCCATTGACTCTTGTAAACAGTGAGTCAGTGTGACAACAAACACATAGCTACAACAACAGCAACACAGCAGATACGTAAGAGCTGGCCCTTTCAAGCAACCACACATAGTGCATACACAACCACACCCACCCACCCACACTCTCTCACTACAACAGATCTTACTGCAAACACAGATAATAGCCCTGTCAACAGACAGATGGGAACACTACAAGTTTTAGACCGAATATCCTTAACGTCTCATGAAAAGTTTTAAAGTTCCATTTAACCCCCCCCCATATTTCGATTGGTTTGAAAGCTGATTTTCGCAACTTTTAAATTCAAAGTAGTTAATAATTTTGCATAAGCAACTTTGCCCAAAATATCCATGAAAACATTTGCCTGCTTCGGAGTGTTTACTTCATTCATGCTCTTTGCAGTATCTAACCTACGATAGGAACAACACTATTGCATGTTGAATATAAAAGGGCAATATTTGCACAACCATTTGAAGAAGCCTAACAATGACGGAATGTACTTGGTTTTCCCAGATCAGTAATGGAGGTGAGTTCATAGCAGGAGCAGCAAGAGAGAAACAAGACCAGTATCAGTCTCACTCACAAACACCGACACACTCCCTCACATACATATAGGAGGCAAAAGAGAAATAAAGCCACCACCTAAAACACACAGACACACACACAGGAGGCAAGAGAAAAATAAGTCTGCCCCCTAACGCACACACTCATGCATGCGCGCACCGACAGTAAGTGAGAGAAACATCAACACCACCCCACCCTCTCACACAGACATGGAGGGAGGCAAGAGAGGGCAAGAAAGGAAGGGCTTGCTCCTCACCATATCTCTCCAGTTTTTCTCTCTCCCTGGCGACCAGATCGCTAGCTAAGCTGACAGGAGGATACACACCCGGCAAGTGGGAGCCCGCGGCACTGACAGAGGGCCCACCAGGCACTAGGGGGCCGCCGGCCGTGGGAGGGAAGCCCATGCGTCTCTGGATATCCAGCCAGCTCGGGTCTGTCAGCTGTGTGGCTGCTCCAGGGGGCAGGAGGCGCTCTAGACCTGGGGAGCGCAGAGGGGGAAAAACCCAAACATTGTCAGTTTTACACTAATATGGCCACAAGTCAAATCAATTAGGAGGTGGGCTGCTTCCATCCCCAATATCAATATTGTAAGTGAGTTATGTCTCTATCTACACCATTAATTTGTTCATGAGGTGGGCTGCTTTGAACTTGCATGTCCTATCTTGAATGAGATTTTTAATAAATGTTTTCCTCATATGGGACTGAACTTCTGTTTTGAGCATGCAGGGCAAAAAAAGAGACTACTTCATCAACAGTGGTTGGAGAGATCAACACCACTTCCAGCATCAGCAAACTGACTCAAACAACAGATCATAATAACCTGATGAAGGTTACTTTTGGTCACTCTCTAAAGCAAGTGTAACTCAATTTGTTCGAAACAGGAAAGATGTGCACTATACTTTTACTTAACATGACACAAAATTTAAAAAACAACTAATCCTTCTTGCAACAGCGACAATATACGGCCAAAATTATTCAAAAAGACCATCCAGCTAGGGGAAAGCTGTCTTAGGTGAACATCTTTGACAGAGTCATTTCAATATCGAAATAAAGCAAAAGTGAAGTGGAAAGAGGCTGTTTGTACAGGTGATTGTCTTTGACAGGTTCAACTGCATACAACCCACTACATCACTATTCAATTTGGAGTAGAGAAATAAAAAGAGAAAGAAACCAAACTGTTTTCACCATGAATATATACTTTCTACACTTTGGTAGTCTTGCCATTTAGTTCAGAGATAAAGGAGTAACAAGCCCCCCCCCCCCCCCCCCCCATTATTTTTCTTGCAACAACTACGAGATACCACACACTTGTGGGGTTCAGTAATCTACTTTGTAGTGGAAGCAGACAAAAAACAATTTTTTACAAAGAAAAGAAAACTTTTACTTCTCACCTGGCTTCATCATACCGGGTTTGAGCTCAAAGTCGGCCTTCATTTTCTCCCGTAGCTCCAACTCCCTTAGTTCTCTCTCTCTCATGTCTCTCTCACGGGCATCTCGCTCTCGTTTATCCCGCTCCAGCTCCATCTCCAGACGCTCGCGGGAGCCCGGTGGGTACATGCCCAGACGGTAGCTCATCAAGGGGTCCATCTGCGGGTGGTGGGGCAAGCCTGCCAAAGTGTAGGGTCCACGGGGGATATCCTGGCCTGTGTGGTTGGGCACCAAGACATTTTGTGTTGAAATAAAACTTTCAGGATGTAGTACAGTCACTTCCTTACAACATCACTACTACTTTAGCATATCCTTTTCACCTCGGCTATAATTAAATACACATTTCTGTCTAGTCTTCCATATCCATATTTATAAAACTGATCAAGCTAATAATAGACTTTGAGAGAATTCAAAATTCAACTTTTTCCCCCCCTAGTGGCAGTGAATTGTATCCCCGACGATTTTAGATGTAAAATCTGAGTCACTTTCCAGTCAAGAGTGCTGCATTCAAATCCTTCTACAACACACCTCCTTCTCAATCGCACTATCCGCCTTGACAATGTTGCCAATAGATCTAGATCCAAATTTGTCAGCGATACAGAAACTTACAAAAAATTTCGAATGGCAGCACAGATTTCATTCTGGAAGTTCAGGGAAATCATTTAAATTAATACTAGATCCAACTGATGAGAGTTAAATAACAAAAAATATCAAGACATTTTGCGTAGAAAATTTGAAGCAAGAACATCAACACAAACCCAGCAACAGAACATGTTTAATGAATCAGTGTGAAAACCATCATATTTCTCTAGGAATAGACTATGACAAACAAAAACAACACAAAAAGATGCAGAAGGAGCAAACCACAACAAAAAATCCCTGATGTAGAAACACTCGATGTACAAATGGGAAAATAAAAAGCATGAGCATGAGAGGGTATTGTTTTAGTAAGCGTTTTACGGCACTTGCAACACAACTAGGTCATATAAGTGCCGAAGAATCGAGGTGTCACAGGAGAATAACAAACACATAAAAAGAGAGATAGAGATGATAGTTGTTTGATAAGAGATGAGCAACCGTCAACCAGCCGAGTGAGAGGGGATGACATGTCACTTGAGACCATGTCCTGTCATTACACCATAAACCCACGCCCCCTCTACATGCCATTCGCACACACACGTGATATCTTACCCAGCACATGAGGGCGTGCATACTCATGCAGCTGTCTAAGAGCTGGAGTGTCGGCAAATGGCCGCGGTGTATGTCGCTCAGCATAGGCACTGCTGCTGATGTTGTGAGGAGGGCCGGCACCACCACTACTGCTGGGGAGATTGCTACTGCTGCCGCTGCTGGATGACGACGACTTTTGTCCCTCTGACACAGAGGTGGCACGTGGCGGAGTTTCCACTCGTTTCTGGTTGGGGAGAAGAAAAAAAAATTAGAATAAAAAGCAGCACATACTACCGATTCTAGTGGCATCCAATGGTGCCCGTTGTACTTTCAGACATAGTAATTTGAGGGGGAACTTATTGGCTGTTAGTTTAGCTCTTGGGGGGAAAAAAAAAGAATCCAGCAAGAAGCTATACAAATATTTGATCCTGACTGTGCATCACTATAATCTGCCACATACTTCAGTTAATTATTATTATTTCAACAATTATCCACTCTTTTACTTTTTTATTTTGTTTGTTTGTTGTTTTGGTTGTTTGTTTTTTTTTTGGGGGGGGGGAGAGGTGTTTCTCTCAGTGGCCTTGGTGGTCACTCACAACCCCAATCACAGGAATTTTTCAACATCGTGTCAAATATTATTGTTTGTCTTACTCTGGCTTTGGCGCAATTAATGTTTTTACTAAAAGGATTCTACCAAATTTGTAATGATGGGCAGTCCTGTGTTTGCACAAGAAAATGAAACAACAGGATGCTATTGTTGTGATGGACTCAGACATGAGGGGTTATACTGAAGGAGGGCACAGTGTAATTACTAAAAATAAGTGACAAAACCTTCCAGAAAAGGGTTAAAAAGTTACATGATTATTTACCATCACTACAATCCGTCCCCAGGAGGATGTGTAGCTCTGTTATTTGCACACTACTGTAATTAACATATTTCCTCTCTAAAAAGCATCCATTTCTAGCTGGGTCAGCACAGGTAAATATGGTACAGTATCTTTCCAAAGGACAACAGAATGATGTCTTATCCCGCATGGCGTCACTTTTCGACAGATTCTGTTACTTTAAGTTAGCGTGACTCAGCAGCCCGCCGGAGCTCCAGGGCTCAGGGTCACGCGGTTAATGAGCCCTGAAGCTACCTTGCTGGTGTCGTTTAAAAAGTTCGCATTTTTGTCCAAGTTTGAAACGATATAACTTCTTCCCCATCCCACACAGCAAACCATTACAATGATGTACTAAAAGCTCAATGTCTTGAGATTTATTCTGTGTTAGAATGGTTACTTTCTAGAACCTTAGTTTTTGTTCTAGAAAAGTGTATGTAGGGTACCCAATTTGTCCTATTTTAGTTACATATTTGTGAATAAATGATTGTTTATTTAAAAACAGCCCGACAGATCTCTCCAAAATCTGTGTTACAAATATCATGTCTTTTACCATGAGAAATCTTAAATCTGCACAAGTAGTAATAGTCAAGTTATAAGAGAAGAAATATGCACATCTGCATATTTTAAACTAAGGACATTCAGCGTTAGCTCTTGTTTTACCATTAAACAAGAGAAAGTTATTCATGAATCATGCTGTATCTGCGGCAGCCTGCATACAATTAAGAAAGTTATTGTCACATGTGCGATTTTTAAAAAACACAAAACTGTGTAAATATGTGGGTACAGATGAACTTCTTGTATGGAATAAAAATAATGACAGCCAACACATTCATTCTTAGTGTTTGTGTTGGAATTATGCGCGGACACTTATGAGTAAAGAAATCAGAACATTGTCTGTTATTGCAAATGGACATAGAAACGAAAATAAAGGCAGGAAAAGTCTGGTGCTGATTCAGTGTCACAGGAAAGCTAGAAATTATTCTTATAACTCATTACGAGAAGTCATCCCTGTTATTCAGTCAACTTACAAAACCTAGACTTAGCGTTTTAAGAAAAGTAAGGAATTTCTGGAGATACTGTTCGTGTATTGCATTGTAGAGATATATATATATATATTCTGGCACTAAAATCGATTTGTATTACTTCATAGAGAGACTACAGGGTAATTTTTATAAACTTTTGAGAAAATATGTGAACATTCACGATTTTATTAGACACATAAAGTTGTACTTAGAAGAATTACTTCACAGCAAACTGTGTGCCAGATGGATATAGTTGCAAAATTACAGCTTTTTATTATATGCACAGATACTATCTTTTCTGAGTATCTGCACCAATGTTATGTCGTTCATGTTCCAAAAGTTTTGAGTTTTTGTCGTGCCTTTTTTTAATATTGATTTTCTTTTCCATTCACATTTGTCAATTTTTTAAATACAATTTAGCATTGCCGATTTCAGCGCATCTAGCGAAATAACCAGACAAGTTACAATGTCCGTTCTTTTTTGAGTCTCAAGAGCAGAAATGCGTGCTTTGGGTGCATTAAATGATAATTATCATAAATACAAGGATACACCTAAAACTGTACGTTAAAAAGTGCCACAAAAATTAAGTCAGCCCAGACAGAATGGCGACAGGGAGCTGACCCCCGTGACCCTGACGTGATAAGGTGCTCGGCGGGGAACCCCCCAGTGGCAACTAAAATTCCACTTCCAGTGCGCTGTGCCCGTTATCTTTCAACAATAGAAAAATATGGTGGTTAGTACAGCAGAGGAAGGGGTTAATGTACACATGTACTTCTCACCTTCTCCTCTTTGATGGAAGATGTGGAAGAAGAGTGAGAGGCTCGTCTCTTCTTTGCCAGATTGGACTCTGGCAGTGGTTTGAAGACAAAGTCAGTTCGTGAACACTGGTTCCTCTCACCGCGGTCAAACACCTTGATGAAACTGGACAAGAGGAAAGACAGAGTTGATCAAACACAGTCCAAAAATCTTCTGGGTGTTTTTATTGTTGTTGTTTTCAGTAACCAGAAACACATCAATGCAATAATGGACATTTAGTGCATAAAAAAAGGAAGATTGACAGACAGAAACAACAGAAGGAGAGCTTTGTCAATCAAATCCAATTTCCATTATCAAACTGTAAAATATGAGCAGACTTTTCCCACTGCAGAGCACAAAAAAGTCCATACAAAGTTTGCAGAGGAGAATACTTGAACCTATTCCGATTCTACAGATTATCCTATCCCGACTCTAAAGAATTATACCTTACCTGGTCTCTCAGTACAAAAAATAAGTTAGTCCTTTGATAACCCAAGCAGAGACAATGAACTGTTGAAAATGTACAGACGTACAGGCATACGAAAATACTGTTTAGTAGGATTTAAAAAATTTTTCTTTCTTTGTATCCTGTGTTGTCAATGATCCCATTTACTAAAAAACAATAAACAGGGCTACCAGTAACCACTGGAACACAGTCAAGGCAACAATAGTAATTGCAACATAACAGAAGAAAGCACAGACAGTAATTATTTGACCACATGTATTAAAGCACACAGAACAATTCCAAAGACTATCCTTTTCAGAAATAGACTGCACCTTGTTTTATGTTTCAATATGTGTTTGACAGTACTTGCATCACAGTTAGATCATATTAGTCCCGAAGATTACAGATTATAGATATTACAAGAGAATAAAAAACACAAAAATAAGGAGGAAAGATAACGATGCTAGATGTTTGAGAGCAAACGACACCGGAGCATCTGCCAACCACCCACAAATAGTACCTGAAAAACACTTCCATCCAATGTAACACATCAAAGCATAGGTACTAAAGTCACAGGCCTAACAGCTGCTCAGACAAGCAATAACAACTAAACCACAGTATAAAAAAGAAAACTAAAATATTAAGGTATATAAAAAGAGGACAAGAATATCCATACAAGACCCCCCCCTCCCCCCATGACAGTGAGATTCTTACATGGCAGAGTTGCTCTTGTAGATCTCCTTACTGCACGCTGAGGTGGGGCCAGGGGTGGTAGACCCCCCTCGCATATCATCATCACTTCCTGTGTCATCCTCTACTGTGATTGGCTCCTTCTTCACCAAACTATCCACATCTGCACCAGGGGGAGGGAGAGGACGAGAAGGAGGAGGTCCCCCAGCGTGTGAGGACATGAGGGCTGCAGCATCCCCAGGCATGAGAGGACCACCTTGTGAGGGGTGTAGGGGGGGCCCTGTGGGGTGGGGGGCACTGGGATCTGACTGAAGCTGGCGTTGTGGGATCTGCAGCACCGAGCTGATGGGATGAGACGGAGGGGGAGGGTGTGATGATGATGACGACGATGAAGACGAAGACGACGATGAGGGGTGAGGGTGGTGGGAGTAAGGCTGGAATGCTGCGGATAGAACTCTTGGGTCGTCTTTGAGGGTGGGAGGAGGGGCCGAATGTGCTCCCTGTTGGGAGGAAGATGAGGAGGGAGGAGGGGGCGGTCCAGGGAGACCCCCTACTAGACCGATCTCCCGAGACTCTCGCAGTACGCTGAGGTTACTGTCCATGCGGGATTCTCGATGTTGGAGAACAGATGGGTGGTTCTCCGACGAGCGGTGAGGGGAAGGCGGCAGGCCGCGTGGGGGGTTACTGTCTTTGCTAGAGGAGTAGGAGTCAGCCTTAGAGAGATCGTCTGGTTTTGAGCTGCTGTTGCTGTCACGGTGGTCGATGAGGGTGAGGGGAGGGGGAGGGAGTGGTGCTGTGGAGGGGAGACCAGACTGGGGGAAGCCATGAGGGATCTTTCCAGGGTTCTCTGGATGTGGTCGGTGGAGAGGGTGAGGCGATGCCGATGATGATGAGCCTGATGATGATGATGAAGAAGATATGATATCCGAGGCGGTTTTATCTGATGGTTTAAGGGGTGGGGGTGGAGAGTGGGGCTCTTTCTTGATGGGCACTAAGCTGGGTACAGGGGGAGGGGCGGGATGGGGGTTGCTGCTGGATGTAGAGGAGGAGGAAGAAGAGGCTGCTGACATGGCCACCGAAGGGTGGAGTGATGGGTGTGGGGGCAGGTGGGGCGCCCCGGGGTGTGGGTAGTAGTACGAGTGGTAAGGGGAGAACGGGACCGAACCTGGAGGAGGGGGGAGGTACGCGGATGGGGGAGGAACAATAGGCTTCTTGTCCTGGGGCTCCTCTCCTGGGTCTTGCATTCTGCCGAATGGTGTGCTGCCGCCGCTGCTGCTCCCACTACTGCTGCTGTTTCCTAGAGTACCACTGAGGGTACTGTTACTACTGCTGATGGCCAGACCAAGGTGTGAGCTGCTACTGGAAGATGTCAGACTGCTACCACTACCGCCTCTGTTAGAGAGAACTGACGGCGAGGGTATGACTGGCTCCCCGGAGGTCAGGGCAGAGATGGTCTTGGTGCTGGCAGTTGTTACAGAAGTGAGACTGGCTGAAGCACTGACACAGACCGATGACGGTGGTGGTGGCACAGGGACTTCGGCCGGGTGTGGGATGAAAGTGCCAGTAGAAGATGCCCGACTCAGTGAGGGTGTGGGAATGACCAGAGGTGAGGAGAGATTGCACGAAGTAGGGGGAGGGACTATCAGTGAGCCGGGGCCGCTGCTATTGCCATGATGGCCTCCACTGATGGTTCCAATTGCAGAAATATGTCCAGGCAGGGGGCCTACTACACCCGATTTGTAAACTGTCAATGGGTGCTGTTGCTGCGACGATGAAAGTGGACCTCCCAAACCTTGCGGCTGCTGTTGTCGGCGAAGATGAGTTGCGGATGAAGAGGAAGTGAGGGAGGCAGGGTGGTGTGGGGGGAGTGGTAGGTGTATCAATGAGCTTGCAGCTAACGTAGCAGAAGACTGCGAGGTCAGAGGTGGGAGGCTGGAAGGTAAACTGTTGTTGAAAGGAGATGATTGCGACAACTGTGATGACTGCTGTTGTTGTTGAGAGCCTTGAGGCAGTCCGGCCGGGACCAGAGAGGGGGGGACCGGAGGGCCTGGGACAGTTTTTATTGCAGACGAGGTCACCGCTGGGTGAGCACTGGCAGCTAAAGGGGAAACGAATGTAGAACCGCCTGTTGCGTGACTGACGGATGAAGCTGCTACTAGAGTACCCTGAGCGGCTGTGACACTGCTGGGGGTCAACTCTAGGGAGGATACAGGCTTATTGCCAGTCACTGGTCCACTGGTCACTCCAGAACTGGTGCTGGTCAACAGCGGGTGAGAACCAGGGGTCGGTGGCTGGGGCTGTAAGGGCTTGAACCCACGCTCCACGGAACTGGGGCTGGAAGGCCGGGAGCTGCTGCTAAGCTCCTCCTTTAAAAATAGAATATTAAAACCTTTCTAAATTTACAACAGTAAGCAAACAAAGTTACGTGACTATGATGGACTTTCCTTTTTCATGTTCACAGTGGGGAGCTCTTTGATCACAACAGTGAAACCATTCACTGCATCTCATCTAAATTTACTTAGCAAACAATGAGCCTGATATTATATACTTTTGAACCGGTGGTCATTCCAGATCTGGAGCTCCGCTTTGAACAGGAAAAAGTGTTAATAAATAGTAACTGGAATATTACGCTGTTATTTTTTTTCTAAAGCATACCCCTTTACTCAATCCATGTCAATGGGGTTTCTACACATATTTTGAAGCTTGCTCCTGTATGTCTAGAGGTAGTATAAAATGTGGCTATATTTTATTACATCTTATATATACACACACACACATCTTCGACTCAGAACTATTAGTTGTTTTTGTTTAAGTAAATAGAAGCACATCAGCACAATAACGGTTATTTTAGTTCTTGGACAAAGTAAGACAGACAGACTGAAATAACATGATCTATGAGAAAGCAAACTGTGTAAACAGGGTAAAGGTAAAGATATTATGTACTGAGGTCCATAAAGCTAATCAAGGAGAGAAGGCAAGAGTACTGGTGTGAGTAAACAACAGACCTGGTTGTTGTCGTCTGAGTCTGCGTCGTTGGCAGCGTCTTCAGCTCCAGAGACAGAACTGCTGTCTGTGCCTGATTCAGAGTCAGAGCGATCCTGTCACAAAACAGCAAAGAAAAATGTGAAAAAGAAGAAAAAAAACTTAGATTTATTATTAATCTTTGAAGGGAAATTTTGGACCATAATGGCATGAACACAGGGCTTGAATTAGGTGTTCAGGAGGGCAGGCAAAAATTGCCTCGGTGGGGCCTAAAAATCAGAGGGCACCGAGGCAATTTGCTAGGGCACCTAGGCAAATATTATAGGTGATTATTTTGTTGATTAAAGTTGGTAATACTGGATGTTGCATACTAAAAATTTCTGTCAAGCGGTTAAACAGTGTGAGGTTCTGATGATATTCTGATAAGTGAAAACAAGTTTGAAAATATATGTTTTAAAGTACATGTATGTTGTTTAAAAAGACCTAAAACAATCAACATGTCATATTATGACTTATGACTAGATCAGAATATTGAAAATATGTTGGCACACACAATATAGAAAAAGACTGGCTTACTGTTTGTCCCTTATGGGGAAAAACAAGTGATTTTAAAAAGTATCACCAGAGAAGATGATTTCAGAGAAAAGTGCGGTTTTATCAGGACGTCTAGTTGTGAGACACATCTCTCACATCTGCAGCCTTCTTTTTCACCCAGAGATTTTTTCAGACACAGCTGCTGAGGTTTGGTTATCATTGCTGTGAGTGTGTTTGCACTAGCCATGACAAAATGGACACAATTATCAAGCTGAGCAGTGTCAGACTGCAGCTTTGATGAGATTTCAGACAAATTGGACAGGATTTCTCCATACCCCCCGCCCTCCCACGCGTGTATCTTAAAAATCTTTTAAAAATCAATACCCCCCCCCCCTCCATTCCGGAGTCTCGTACTTCGTGGTGTTCACACTTTGAATGAACTTTGGTGACCCCAACAACCGGTGCTCACACGATGCCGTGTCTTGTGATTAAGTTGTGATACCAACGCTCAGGGTCACTGACCTGCCACGGTGGCGAACCCGACAAGACGCTTGTAGAACTTTCTTTTCTTTTTCACAAGTGACAACACAGGACAAATAGTATTTATTTTCGTTGTGGCACATTTTTAAAAAAAAAGAGAAAAAAAAGGGCATGGCAAAAATTGCCGCGGTTGACCCTTTGATTTTAAGGGCATTACGGCAAATCACAAAGGCACCAAGGCAAATTGCCGCTGTCTATTTCAAGCCCTGTGAACATGATAATTCAGAGGTTACAGGACACCGAAATGACTGACAAAGCAACAAAAATAAATACGGCAAATTACTCAACAGTAATGGCTCATACCACAAGTGTCTTTGCAGCTGATTACAGAGACTTTATCACACATCTTTCCATCAAATCTAGACAAAGACTTGATCAAATTTCTTTTCTCTCTGATCTCAAGAAAGAGGGACTATCAAAAGTTTTCCCCTGTGGGACTCAACTGATCCTTTCAGCGCGACCTTGTCTATTTGAGTACACTTACAAAGAAAAGACCATCGACAATATTTTTTGTGGGGAAAAGGCCAGACAGGCACAACAGCAGCAGTGTCCACCAACCACCCAATGTGTGCAAGCCTAAACACTACACATCAGTAAGAAATCTCAAGCCAAACAGAGTTCGAGCTACATGTGAGAAGGAATCCCATCCCCAACTATGATCAACAAAAGTGAGCAAACCCCTGCCCTCAGGGATGATACCTACCTTCTTTTTCTTGGCAAGCTTTGAGTCTTCCTCGGCAGGAATTCTTCTCTTTTTCGCTTTAGCTGAGTTTGACTCTTTCGATTTCTGAATCATGTGAAAAGAAAAAGATATGAAAACATTTGTCAGCCTGTTATCTCACAAGAAGTTAGAACATGCACAAAACAGGTGATCTGACTGATAGCAAGACACCTCAACTCTTAATACATTGCTAAATGGTGTTACCAGTCGGTTTCAGATAAAGTTTTAACAGCAATTGCAACATAAAGCTCATGTAAATGTCAAAGATTACACATGTTACTATTACATAGTTACAAAGAAAAGAAACAGCGATAAGGATGATAGATATTTAATAAGTATAAATAAAGCAAACCACATCAAAGCATCCGTCAATCTCCTATTTGATGTACTTGTTGAGTTTGAGTAAAGAGAAGGACTAAAAGTGGCAAGTTTTCCTTCTGTCATAATGCTATTTTTTCTAAAGAGGGAAAGTAAACAAGTAGCACCCCTAGCAACCGCACTAACGGTAGTATTTTGTCATTAAAAAAAAGACAGTATATAAACGAGACTGCAGGCATTAACTCATTCGCTACGTATTATTTTCGGCTTGTGGACGAATTTTTTTCGAGAGGGCGAAATGAGATGATGACTAGTGCACAGCTCACAGGTCTTGGGGGCCATAAATTCAAATAAATATCAACATATTATATACCAACATTTTCAGTATGGTTTGTAGAATACATCTGTATTGTTTATTTGAGTATTGTTCAACTTTGGTTCCTGTAAGAGGCGATTATGCAACACAATTGTGATTGGTTGGCTGCGGATAAAATTTGAAGAAAAAAAAATGTATAATCTCAGATGAAACTCAAAAAATATGTTTGCACCTAGTCAAATTATACATCAAAATAACCATAACTGTTTATAGAACAGGAAAATATTGAAAAATGAGCAGTTATTTACATACATTCCATAATATTTGTACATTTGGATCATAACCTCCGATATTGAAAAAAAACATTTTAAAAATTATTTTGAAAAAGGATCCCAAACAGAAAAAAACACTCGTATCTTATATGGAATTATTCAGAATTGCATTTGGAATAAACCTATACATGTCTTGAGTGGTAATTTTTGAGTAAATTCACCAAAAGGTAGTGATTTTGAGGAGAAAAAAAATATTTTTACTATTTAGATCTAGGCCTAGATCTAGCACTCAAAAATATTGATTTCTCAATTACAATGCACTGGCAATTTGAGTCCAGTAGTATCAATATTATAAGAAGAGTCCTACACTTCTTTAGTGAGCAAAATAATGATACATTTTGTTGTGTAAAAGTACTAAGACTGGTGTCTGGGCTATAATTTAGGCTTCCCGATAAAACAATGTTGCATAAACTTCGAAATCGTGTTTCAAAACTGAATCAAAACCTCCAATTCTCGGTGGAAACGCTTGATCCGCTTGATCCGGAACTTTATATTATGACCTTTATTTTAACATGGATATGTGGATTGGAATAGAAACCAAGCTAAAACTGAACGTCAGTTCTCGAGCCGCCGGGCGTACTAACGGCACTTTAGCCACGCCGCCCCCCACGGCTCGGCGTAGCGAATGAGTTACGGGCTTGGAAAAAACCAAGATAGGCAGAAATACCAAAAAAAGAGTGAAGAGGACTAACAAGTGGTTCCATTCAAACACCTGCAATTTCTACCCTTAAAGCCAAAGAAAACAGCATTAAATTTTAATGGTCACTTTTAAGCACAAGGAGGGTATCCCGAAAAATGCTGTTTTGAGAAAATCGAAGGTAAAGTTTTTTTGCCCCTTGTTCATTTTCTTTAAAAGACAAGGAGAGTTTTCTCTATAACCAAACAAATATACACACCAATGAAATCAAACTTCTCTTAAGGTAGAGCAATGCCCACTTTAGGTGTAGGTTAAGATTTCTGGAAACCCCCAAATCTGAGTTAGCCCGTTTGTCCTTAAAAGCGACCATATAATAGCAACCGTGAGACAAAATAATGACTTTCACTTTGCCTTTCTAATATAACAGATTTTGACTTCTTTTTTTCTTCTTGGTTGCATTGTTCTTTGCCTTTTCATTGGCATTATATCTGAAGTCAGGTATCCATCATATACTGAGCCGTCCTGCTCAGTTCCTCTCCCACAAAATCTGACATTTTCTTCAATTTCTATAGATGAAACAGAATCTTTTCCAGAATTTCTCAACATCAGACTGTGATTCCCCATAAAGTATCTTCCATAAAACAACAACCACTCAGGGCTGCCTACCTCAAAGTTCCCATTTCAGGTAGATTCAGGGTCATTTTCAGGTAGATTGGCCCAAAACCATGATCGTTGCCCCTCCGAACGAGCTTGCTTTCCGTGATATTGGGTAATTATATTTTGAAAACTTCTTTGTGCACGCACGTGTGTGTGTGTGTGTGTGTGTGTGTGTGTGTGTGTGTGTTGCCATGCTCTCGCATGTGCCTATATGTGGGGAAGGAAGGGGGTGTATAGGTGTGCACAAGTTACGATGAACAGTGTGTATGAAATGAGGCGAGGTTGGGTTTTAAAAAAAAATCATTTTATGGACTATCGTTCAAGGAACCTATCATTCAGTACTGAATCTGGAATTGAGTGCAGGGTGATTGCCAAACTGACTTCAAAACCCCTAGCCCATACAAATAGAAACTAAATTAAAACATAATTTTCCCGACACTAGCATAGGACACCGATAAGTCCTTCGTGACTTAGGTATGACAGACAATTAATTTTAACTAGTTTCACCCTAAAAATACAACATGAATCCTGATCTGGGCCTGAGGAGAGGCCAGAAGAACATCAACTGCCAAAACCATGTTTGGTTTCAGCAATCACGGATTTTAAAAAGCATGAAAGACAAAACTTATTTATAAAACCTTTATAGTTAGGCTCACGGCAGAGCAAAAAGTGAAAATAAGAGAGCGTGTACCGATAGAGCCGGAGCTGGAAGGACTGTGAGATTGTGGGATGTAGATCTAGTGATGCCGAAAACCTGGCAATCAGTGAATCACTGCATCATAGACTAAGCATTGATTTTTTTCAAAATGCTAAATCACAGTACCAGTATTTAATCAGCAACAAGCCATTATGATGCACAAGCATCCAACATTGAGCTTTCCGAGGGTTGAAAATGGCATTTCCTTATTGCCACTATTCAATTTGTCATCACTGACAAATCCGACAAATCCGGGAACACCAACCTTGAAGATACAATCATCAAGCCTGTGCTCTAATGTTCCCTCATTTACGCACTTGATTGTCGAATGTCAAAACCACTTCCACTTATCGTTTTTATTTTAGCATCAGTTTCTTGCACCGCGGCCTTTTTCTGCTGCTGTAGACTTTATTTTGCGTCAAACACCTCCCTCAATTCCAACGCCCTGCAACACTCCTACTTTGAAATAACTTTGATTAGGCTTTCCTCAACAACCACCGGCCGGTCCTTTATTCATGCCGTACTCACGAACTCTCACAGGTTCATTGACCGGTCACCATGACGGGCCCGGCAATCTAGAAATTGGAGAACGCGTGTTTTCTTTTTCTCCCCCCCCTTTTTTGTTTGTTTTGTTATTATAGTGACATCAGTGAGAATATCGATTTAATGTTTATGGCTACACATGCGTGTTTTTTACGCACAAACTGCAGGTTACAAATTTTTATTAACTGTAAATCTAACGTCAACGAACTATCATCAGACAATTCTGAGCGGTAACGAAAGCGAAAGTAGATTTTGATTTTCCCGATGGAGTCTCAGTATGAGTATTGCACCTACAGTTCCGATTGCCGCCATAGCCGCTCATTCACGGGAAACGTACTCTCGGACTGGGGAAAGCCGAACGTACTATCACAAACGCAACCAGTAAAATATTATGAACTCAGAAGGCTTTTCAGATTTGGTTTCGAGGACTTGTTGCATTTTCTCGGGTCCCGGGTAATAAATTCCCGCAGTCACCCTGCGTAGAATCCTTATTTGGTACTTACCAATTCTCTAAACCATGACAGATTTTAGAATGTTTTGCTTCGATACCGATTTTCCTTCTAAATTAACAATTCTTTTTTCTGGATAAATGAATTAAATGCACAGATTTTCCAGACGCAGCAAAAAACTGAAGATAGACAGAAAGAAAGAATGAATGAAAAGGAGAAAGATTATCTATCGTGAGTAGACAGATTTCAGCCGATATGCACGTGAAAAACTATTGCCGACCGAACGGCACAGATAGACAATGGCCGAGTGTACGAAACGCGCAATTGGCAGTTTCTAATACAACTTATTGCCGAGAGTTGCCGTAAATATCTGACAAGTTACGGAGGCAAGTGCTGATCTATCTCTCTCTCTCTCTCTCTCTCTCAACGCATGGAGTTGATACGATGATGCAGCAAGTACGGAACTTTGGGAATGTACGGATTTCCGTAAAAACAAAGAATGGAAGCACTGCAGAATGTTGTAGTTTTTTTTAAAACTCTCTCGGCACCCATCGAAAATCCGGTAGTTTTGACACCTTATCGGTATGTCGGTAGAACAGGCCCAAAATCGGTATCTACCGGAAAAATCGGTAGATTTAGGCAGCCCTGACCACTGCTACGGCAACAAAAAAAAACCCCCATCTTACACCCACAAACCATTAATTCATACCTGAGAAGACTTCTTGTTTTCCTTGTCTCCTGTGGGCGGAGACTTGCGACCACCTTTGCTGGAGGAACTATTATTGGCTGTAATTGTGTTGCTACTGGTGCTGGCGTTAGGGCCGAGACTGGCTGCGGCTTCTGTGTCTGGGCTACTTACGCTGGTTCTGTCTTTCTTCTTTCCGTTTGTTGATGCCTAGATAGAAGTAAAGGAAGGAAAACAGATATATTTTAAAACTAAGACTTCAAGGATGCGCAGTTGAAGAGGCTTTGAGCGAGTACAAAACATACAAGGGAAGAAGACAATTTCCCAAATATATAGTCAGGGTTACAAACACTAGTTTTTCCCTTCCTGCTATTGGCAGATGCCTACAATATATCAGCACTGGTTTCATACATAAACTGAGTCACATACCACCAACACAACCTCTACAAGAACTAACCTCCTCAAAAGTGAAAGAACACACAAAACAGAAGAAAACATCACATCAACTTGCAGCATTCAATTTACATTTTTAAAAGAGCAAAGTTTAAAAGGCGAGAGGGGCAAAATATTGATGTGACATCCTG